TTTTTATCCTCAAACCAAACATACCTGTTGCGCTTCGTTAAGCCGCTTCTTTAATTCATTGTATTTTTGTAAAAACACCTTGTACTTTCCCTCAAATTCAGCCTTTTCTTTTTTCCATGCAGCATCGCGCTCAAGGCGAGCTTGATGCCGCCATCGGAACAGACTGGGAGTGTCAATGTTTGGATGTGTGTCGTCTTCATCATCGGAGACCTGGTAGGATGAGAAGAGCTATCAGAAAGCCGATAGTTGGACTTAGAAACAGACGGAAATGCAAATCACACTTGTCCGGTAACAAGGAAAAGAGTATCAGGAAGGTCAGATCCCTGAATGTAACCTCAGAACGCCCGAAATATACTGCTCCACCAAAATCTCAACAGGAAAGCCGGCAAGCATCCAGGCCAGTCAATCATTCAACCAATTCAGCAAAAGCAATGCACACCAGTGAAGCGTTCAGGCATTTCATAGAGGCACGATCAATGTTGACGGGTGTTCAACTAACGTCTATCAGATAGCCTGGATCAGTGTCAGAAAGTCCCCTTTAAATAGCGTGGGGCTGTTGTAACTTTTGCTCTCGCACTCGCTTGTTCGGAATATAGCTGTTGTGTTCCCTTCTGTGAGTCTTTTTTTTCGGCACCGGAGCGGGTCAGCAGCAGATATCACAGATTGACGAATCAGCAGATATAACAAAGAGGTGTACACAGATTTTCCTAATAGATTTCTCGATGGGAAAACTCACAGATGGCAATACCACACAGAGTTACGATGAGAAAAGCTAGCTCCATGAACGAGCCAACTGTGCTGCGCTTTCATCATAATATCTAAAAGAAATCACGAGCTATTTGCCGCAAAATAGTCTGTGTGTTCTGACAATTTTCAGCGAAGCCAATGAGAACAGTATGAGAGAATGGCAGCAATAGGTACGTATGGGCACTTGGGTGTGCAATTAAACAAATGACTGAGCATAAACAGCAAACAAGAAGGAATAGACGGCAAACTGACCTCAATATGATCCCACTTGCTATAGTCCACTCGCGTCATCGGGATAACCAGAGGGATTAATTGGAATCAGGCAACCGTTCTACTGTCCGCTGAGCGGAATTTTCTGAAACAGAGTTAGGAATGAAACTGCAAGTCATCCTTCTTAAGAGAACAAGTCCATAAGACAGACAAGAAGCGATATTAACGGGATTAGGTTTCCTCGATGCGTTCGCCCTTCAGATGGTTGCTTCGTTCTTGGGTCGATTGCGAAATTTCGCATGAACCTTGTTCAAATCGGCTTCTCCTGTAGCGCAATTACAAACATAGGTGCCCATCGAATGTCCCGAAGTGTGGCTGATGTTGCTGGTAATTTGACTCGGATGCCCCGTATCTTCTCATTCGCAAGCGGTTGTCAACTTACCTGTAGTAGCACCATCAATTGAAGAAAGTAGTCTTAACTATTGTGGAAATCCCGGGGTCTTTCCGCTAAAGTAGGAGTGCTTATCACAACCAACATACCAAAACCTGTTTGTCACTTTACAATTGATCGGCTGAATAGTGCTTCGTCCTAGTACCAGCTCGGTTAATAGTGTGCGTATGTTAGAAGTTTCCCAGAGGGAAAAAATCGTTCTGGTGCCTAACTGTCATGCCACGGGGGCTGGTATACTGTCAGGTTGCCCAAGCCTAGACAGGGGAAGTCGAGAGGCAGAGGTCAGGTTCGAACCACGAACCTTCCGGTCAGTGAATTCGCGCTCTAGCCAATTGGGCCATCTCGCCCTTCTCAAAGGAAATAGATTTTTAGACACTGCTATTGCCGTTTCAACCGCGACCGGTACCGACTGAACTGAGATAAAAAAATAAGTGAGATCTTGAAGCTCTGCTAATCCATTTCCGGTAGAGTGAGGTGCGTAATCAGCAATGCAGTTCAATTCTGAGTGTAACAAAATGTAAACTGCGCTGGCGCGACACGATGAACACTGGAGCACATACGGATATCCCCGACACCTGCTGATCGACTCTAAAACAAAACTATTCGATCTCTGAAAACTTCTTCGTTGGTGTGTAATCGAAAACCGACTTCACTGTACTCCACAAGCAAACTCCTCGTCAATCGGCTTATCGTTCTAACATTTCTCTTCAAAAAGGAAGAAGAAACCGTAGGTGATCGTTCTCCAGTGTGAAGGTTTCCTTCGAAAGGGAAGTTATCGCAAACGAAAAGAAACCAAGAATGTTTCAAGTTTCAAGTTAGCCAAACGCCAGAGGCTTGTTGCGGTCGCCATTCCCGTGCGATTAGACTACGACGGAAACAGGGTGAATTACAGGAAGCCTGAACATAAAGGAAATAAGTCCTTTCAACCAAAGCTTTTGAATAAAAACCTGGAAGTAAGACAGAAGTGTTCGGTGGGAAATGCTAGTGCACTACATTTAAAAAAAACAAGTCAATCGACGTGGAGGACCAAAGGACTGTGCTGTTCAGGGGCGAGATGGCTCGAGTGGTTAGAGCGCGAATTTACTGACAGGAAGGTCCGTGGTTCGAATCCGACCTCCGCCACTCGACTTCCCCTGTCTAGGCTTGGGCAACCTGACAGTATCCCAGCCCTCGTGCTTCCTTCGGGTGGCATGGCAGCTAGGCACCGAAAGGGCGCTACAGCTGAACGATTTATTTTTTTATTTAGACCTCTCCTATTGACCAATCTGGTGAATCGTGTGAGGGTCGCACGACACTCCAAAGCATTGCTTAGTGGATCGCGGAAATGACAAATTCACCACTCGACGGTAACTTACAGTCTATTCATGGGGAGTTGCAAACGCCACTTGAGTGTCTCCAGACAAGTGATACAAACGGTAAATGAAACTAAAATACATTTATTCCGATATCTCAGCTAAGAGGAAATACACAAAATTCGTGACTTGATTCTGTAACTGACTGCAAACCCCAGCTCTAAATCTAATTGACGAGAAAAGACCCGTTTAACGAGAACACAACAGCTTTACTGAAAAAATTACGAGGAGCGTTGCAATGGGGTGCATTTTTGGACTTGAATCAAAGATGTGCGGTTGGTAATGAGTGCTTTATCGCAATGTCTCAAAGGACACTCCTCAAGCAGTCGGTGAACCCTGAGTGGGCGTTCGAGCGTCCGATCGGCAGCTGGCTTTTCAGACCCGGGGACTCAGTGGTCTCACTAAAGAGATTTCGGACATTCGAACACCATAAACTTAATCGTCCGAACACTTGGGCAGAACAGTCGATCAGTCATCGTCTGGTTTAATACAAGATTCGGATGATAATTTGACCCATTGCTGGCTGGTAGTAGTAAAGTCGGAACGAAAGTGATGTGTTACCGACTGAGTATTAAACGTTCGAATGCAGCTTGGAAAGAAGCGGGCGCGAAATCAGCTCTTAAGGTTATTGGCTGAGGATTCTGTAACTGCACGCCAACGACGACTAGCCTGTGTAACGAAAACAGGCGTCCCATGACCTCATTTCATACAGCATATAGTGAAGAGAGGTCTCGTGATTGAGCTCAGTTTGCACGTAACCATCGTCCAGCTGTAGCACCCTTTCGGTGCCTAGCTGCCACGCCACACAAAGGAGGCACGAAGGATGGGATACTGCCAGGTTTCCCAAGCCTAGACAGGGGAAGTCGAGTGGCAGAGGTCGGGTTCGAACCACGGACTTTCCGGTCAGTAAATTCGCGCTCCAACCACTTGGTCCATCTCGCACGTAACTATCCTCGCCAGTGATTAGCTGGATCCTGTCTAAGTTTTGGCACATGGAAGTATCTCAGTCCTCGAGGTTCTTTCAGGTTGAAATTCGGCTAGACACCGAACGGATGCCATGGCTGAATGATAATGATTACCATTCATATTTCAGAGGCCGGAAATGAGTCTTCCAGGGTCTTATTAATGAAGGAACCGGAGACGAAAGAGAACAGCCTTGCCTGACATCACTCGGGAGAGAGCTTCCTTAGGGCTTTCATGTGTCCATGGGTGTTGGCGTACACCGCCTTAGGGACGGCCGGGAATTTTAGGGAGACATGTTTACTCTATCGTCATCGATAGCACAATACGAGTTCAAACAATGACGTCTTGTTGCCATCTTTGCTCCATAGACATTGGCATAGTGTCCAACGGTACAGAGCCGAACGCAGCTCCAAAGTCAAGGAAGACTACCATTGTTGGTTGCTGGAAGCGGTGTCGACGGGTGAATATGTGATCATCACCATCATCACCATCATCGACAGCAGGACATCAGTGTTCAACACCGATGCTTCACTGCCGTACGAATATGTGATCGATGCATCCTTTTTCAGCTTGGTCTTAACGGTAGCCTTGATTTGTGGTTCTCCACCGGTCATCCAAGTTGGCTCACGGCCGATATGCACTTAGCAGCCGCCAAGTTGCGCGATGCGAGAGTTTTCGTTGAAAATGCGTGCACGCCAGGAACAGTTGACCGTCAGCAATATCAACTGCGGTAACTCACCCATATCTCAGGCATGTTGAAATGTCGTCCATCGAGACAACTGAGGTTCTGTGTGCCTCCTTCACAATGGCGCAAACTGCGAGGTGGACAACGTATGACACAGCAGAAGCGTGTGAAGGATATTAAAAAGATCTTTGCTGTCGTTGGCGCGGCCGGCCTTCCAGGAGAGTCACTGTGATCCCCTTTGCGCTTTGCTGGAGATATTGGCAGAAATGGGGCTGATCAATGTCAGTGACGCTTGCGTCGTCAGTTTCTTTCCATGTTGCTCGATGGAGTTCCTGGAAGTGTAAATACCTCAGAATGCCTGTGATAGGCCGGCTTTCGATATAGCTTTGCGGTTGCACGGTAGTGAAGCATCAGTGTTCAAACTGATGATGTTGTATCTAACGTCGATGAGAATGATGAGATAACAGTACAATGCCTTCCAGTAATCGTCTGCAAATTGAAGTATGCAGTTTCAGATATTCAAACTCACACTCTAGGTCACACTTTGCTTCGAAACTGGATGATCGCAGATCACATATCCTGGTCATGAGCCTCTGCCGTACTTCGCCAGTGACGCATGAAAGGAACGGCAGAAATGACAGTGCTTTGTGTTAATCGAATAGCTCTTAGTTTCAACAGAATGAGAGCGGAAGACTTGTGGTCTATCATCCCTACCTAAACGTCAGTTCACCAGAATCAGTCCTCAAGGCCAGCGGGAAGAGATACACAAGGTCACTCGTTCCCCAGTGTCGGACCACACATCTAGGTTTTTGGGTATTACATGGTGACTACAAGTAAGGCCTCGACCGACAACATAACCAGGTGTCTTTAAAAGGTTGTATTGAGAGCTAACAGGTCTGGAAAATAGAGACGAAGTGGGTTGAATGCGAGGAAATTCCATGCTCAATTCATTGCTCAAACATAGCCTGACCGTCACCGGGCCTCTGAGTCCGACACTAAGCTGGGCAAACTTCATGGTCCTCCGACATATGAAGTATATGGCCCAGCCAGTGTAACCCAGGGAGTGTAACCGGCCGAGCAATGCAGTTGCCCATAGAGACGAAATGATTTACCACATTGACCGGTTAACCTGCAAGATGAGGTCTGGGTCTGATCCCACCCAAGCATGCAGTAGCATTTTGTATTTTCTAAGTACAAAGCGCATTCAGAACAGCGCAGCAGGATTAATTAAGTCAACTAAGATGGTGTATATCCAAAGAGTGTGTTCCAAGAAGAGCAAGGCCGTCAGTGAACTCTATGGGCAAACGTTGCGCAAGGATTTTGATCCCCGATTTGTTACAAGAATTCAAAGAAGACTGAAGCAGTGCGCCGATTACGAGTTCGAATAGGAAGGGCAACAGGGCCTGAAACCACTGTATGTGGTGAATTCAAGAAGGATTTTGTCGTAGACACGTACGCGTCTACGATAGCAGACAGAGCCTTTATAAGAAATAAGGATTTCTAATGGAACCCCCAAATCGCCAAACAATATCATAAAGTCTCAGCGCAGTCTAGAAGTCTCCATACCAAGAAAAACTATCGTTTCTAGTCGGTGGATGGAGTGTCGCAGTCTCAGCTGCGCCAGAGCGAAACCTAGCTTGATTCTCGCGAATCTGATTCTCTCGATGGTGAATCAACTTGCGTAGTACAACACCAGAAAACGCCTTAAAATGTGTATTAGACTGATGCCCCAGTGTACAATGTTCTTGTAACCCTTTTGAACGTTATTGTTTTCATTCCACATATTTGGACTAAATTCATCAGGTTAGCAAAAGGCCCTTTGGAGAGCTGAGGATGCACACCGTCTGGTTCAGGTGATTTGTGGCGCTGAAACGATGGAACTGCACGCTGGACTTCCGTTATCGATGATGAACGGGTGTCAACGGTCAAATCGGGTTCAGATGATTCCCTCAGAGTTTGGGTTGACGGGGTCCATCTGGAGTATTTTTCAGAGTGTTGAGCCAATTGTTCAAGAGGTTCTGTGGATGGATTCACGTCCGATCTCCTTCACTGAGAATTTCGCTAACAACTACCCTCCTGGGACCAACAAAGCGGATTCCAGCGAACAGTTGCCTTTGTGCCGTTCGGTTACCCAGCCCAATCAAGCCCAGCACTAACCGACATAAAAACGGTGCTTGTTTGCAGAATTGACATATATCCCAACGTACCGTGGCTCCGACGCTGAAAATGGTACTTTCTACCGAGGTTTACCGGGGTCATTCGTCAAGCAAAAAGCACCGTGATTGTCGTGCTTGCAGACTACACGAATACCCAAGTAGGTGTTCTCATTTCCTTGGAATCACGTGGCCGGTTGATTCGATGTTGATGCCCGCCGCACAAACAACGGACAGCGACTCTTCCTTTTAGGCCATCATCATCAACATTAACATCAAAGACAGCAATATCACTGCCGTACAAATATATGGTTTTCCCAATCATAATTAAAACCCTAAGGCGAAAAGACGATAAAAGGGGGAAGGAGGGACCTGATGCTGATCTGCTGCAAGTATTCTGAGGTGCCCACACCTCCAGGAACTCAATCGGACAACCTGAAAAGAAAGTGACGGCAGGAAGGACACGGACATCGATCTCCAGCAAGCGCAAGGGGGAATTGGGATGACCCCATCACAGCCGTAAGACAGCGGTGTTTGGTAAGAGATGTCAACGCATAATAGAACAATTCACCACACATGTTCCAACTCCTAACCTGATATATAAGGATAATCATTCGGCTGCAATACCCATTCGGTGCCTAGCTGCCACGCCACCCGGAGAAAGCACGACGGCTTGGATACTGCCAGGTTGCCCAAGCCTAGACAGGGATGTCGAGAGGTAGAGGTCAGGTTCGAACCACGACCTTTCGGTCAGTAAATCCGCACTATAACCACTGAACCATCTCGCCCCAACCTCGCCGTCTGACCTCAACCTGCTGGACCATGGGACTGTACTGGCTGTACTGACTGTACTGACCATTTTTCAGGCTCCTGAATATCCATTGTTTTGGGATCTGTGCACGTCGCTTTAGCAACAGTTGTTGGTATGGTCATTCTGGCGGCAATGAGATATCCTGATCTCTATGATATCAGCGTCGGATGGCTTGGACAGAGAGTTCTGAAGACCGAAAGCATAGCTTCTTTAACTCGCATCTATTAGGCCTCCAAGCAATCTTCGTTATCTGCATGACTGTGCATTTCCAGTAGCGTTCTAGCCAAACCAGCTCGAGGTGCCTACACCCCCAGACACACATTAAGGAAACTTGGATAGAAACCGACAACGATATCCCCACTGACATCGGTAAGCAGACATATCTTGTAGTGTCTCCAACCAGGCGCAGTGCGGATCACGCGGTCCCCATCCTGGAAGGCGAGTAGCACCCACACCACCCAAGCGCTTCGTAACAAGTCACGGGTTGGCTATTTCTCTGTTTACGCCACTCTGAAGTGGGCATGGAAAACAGAACCCTCTTCGGAAAACTATGGTTTGGCACACGGAACACATGCACTAACCAACGCAACTTCTGGTGCTGGACACATTCTTCAATGGAAGTACCCGTTGCACAACCGAAAACGCGCTTTCTAAGTGCCTCATTACGGATTTGCCCACACCAACTCACATGAACTGTCGTCCTAAGAAAACGACTTTCGAACACCTGAAGACGTCTTAGTTCAGTTGGTCACACAGGTCGAATCTCACAGTCATACAACAAAACGGTCCCCACTGTAGCCTGATACAAACGTCCTTTGATACTCAGAGATACACAGCTTTAACATCATAAATGTCTTAAATTAGCAAACGCGAGCCCGGGTCTTGGAGATTCGTGCACTGAACTCGTCTGCCACACTTCAATCAGAACTAACACAACTTCCAAGATACACGAAACCTCCACAACTTCCAGTGCCTCCCCCTAGATTGTAAGTGGCGTGACCAGTGACTTCATGTCCGGCTTGTGGTCGCCACACTCACCATGAGCCCCTTTTTGGAAATAGGCACTATCACCGACTCTCACCAATTGTCTGGGGCAGATTCCTTTTCCCAAAAGCAAGCAAACAGATCAGACAAGCGCTGACTGATGAATTCACTCCCATCTTTGAACAGAGCGGGTAGGAGGTCATCCGGACCAGAAGCTCGGTGGTGCTTGAGAGAACATAAGCATCCGTACACCTCCGGAGTCGTAAGTGATGCCACGTTCATCGTCCAGGGTTCTACGTCAGCTGTGGGCTACTGATGAGTGGCAGCTGGTGGCCACAATAATCGTTGTTCGAAGTATTCGGCTCAACGGTGGAGGCGTTCCTCATCCAAGATGGTCGCCCCATCCCGATACTTGATCGTTTCGTTCACAGGTGGTTTCTGGGGACCGGTCGCGCGTATGAGCTGTAATAATCTTTGGACATTCAAGGCTTTCTAAGCCTCTTTCATTTTACTGGCTTTCCTTGTCCACCAGACTTCACGGTCCGCTCGCTTTCACTTGAATTCTGATAATTTGTCACATCAAGTTATGTTCGAGACCGGCTGAGATGTTTCTCCGAGGTTAAAGCAGTGCCACGGTTCGGTCTGACATCCAGTGCGCCTGGTGGTGCCGTGCCACAGGGGAAATTCGAAGCATTATGCGAGATGGTGACAATCTCGTCCCAGTATGAGTCCACATGTGATGGCGGAGAACTTGGACGACTCTAGTAAACGATTCTGGCATCTCTAAAAAACTCCAGCAAGACCATATGGTGAAGCCATTGGTGCCATCGAAGCCACTACGTCTCTCTACACCGAGACGATGGGAACTGACAGGCTTAATTAATGGCCGAGTATACAACAAACCGTGAGCTCCTACTGGGCCAAGTCGACCGTCTCAGAAAGGCAAAATACGGCAGGCGCACAACACAAACCTGTATTAGCCCTAAACGCACACTGAAGGAAACATCCGACGCCCCAGTTAGGCAATACAGTTCCATCTGCAATGGTCCGCCTACACTGAAACCTGGACATAAGCACTTCCACATGAAACAGGCCCAGATCACATAGAATTCTCCATAGTTGTTGTAGGACTCGAAACCCTCAAGAAAAGTGTTGCTGTCGTCATCGACAGCGCCTTTCCGGCGAACGACCTAGCAAGAGCACTGACCAAATGCCACCGCAAGATATTTTCCACCCCTAGTATCCTGAAACAGCGAAAAATTCGAATTATAACCCGTTTACAAGGGCGGTAAAAGGTCCGAACAAGCAAGCTACGGGCCCACTGTTCCCTTTTACGTTGGCCTGAAAATCTGGAGAATTAACCGTATCCCTATAGACCAGGACCTCCTGAACGGCTTCCAACTAGTCAACTGCAAATAATTTGCCGTTCAATGTTAAGAAATGTTACGTACTTCCAACCTACCTTTCGGGCCTACAAATACAGCAAGGTAGACCTAGAAGTGGTCATACGACGTGACCTACGCACTAGTCCCCAGTGCCAGGTGGTGGACAAACTAATAATAAGTAGCCTTAGCTAAGACTAACCTCATGCGCCCAGATCTACACCTTGTCTCAGCTTACATATGGCTGCAAGTTGAGTATGCCGTCCAGGCGTGGAAGTAACGGTACGTCCCACTTAACAGCCTATTATCCATATTCCCGGAGTCTTGAACGCAAATTGAACACATCTGACAAGATTTCCTATGGGTGCCAAATAGAACGGTACTTGTGCACATCAGAACGACATACACAATCATTTGAGGGTTGTTCGGCAGCAGGCCCAAAGCAGCCCACTGAGAACACACACTCCTCACTAGAAACGAACTTCGAAATCCGTCACCCAGAACCAAAAATTGAATGGCAATTTCGATGAATTATCTGTGGAGCACACACTGTATGATATCCAAAATCAGTCCCAAAGGGACTGTCCACGCAGAATTTGTAGCAGATTTAACGCGGAGAGGACACTTGGTCCGCAGAAACCGGTTATCCCAGGACAAGGCGAACGATCCCGGCGGAAGCCTGTTGTATGCAGTCTGTTGGGGACTTGAGAGCGTAGCGATTTGTCAGCATGCCGACCAATCGGAACCGAGAGCACTGATGGCAGCTGCTCAGACTGAAAGGACCGCTTTGTTTCGTCGCATTCCGTGTCGTAAGCAAGGTTAACGGAAAGCAGATGTGACCCAAGAGAGTGTCTAAAGGGTTTCTAGGGTTATTGCTGATCCAAGTTTTGGAAGTCAAGGGATTGAGGGACCTTGCAATTTCGATGTTATCTTCGGCTGGCCAATTAACATTGTTTCAATCGTGTTCTGCTTTACAGTGTTTCTTCCCTCGCTATGTTGTCCTTTATGTCAGAAGAAAACAGATTGAAACACGAATGTCAAGTAGGAATGAGGAATGGCGGAAAAATAGAGCCCGTATGGTAGGTGTACAAAATTAAATTTTAGCATACAGTGGCACCTACGATCAATCGATTTGTGGTAGCTGAACCCTACGGAGAACATGACACAGGTTTTTAATCAGCCTCAGCGACCTGGTCACATCTTATCTAACTAAGATTTAATAACGAACGACCGCTAGTCGGCTTGGCCTTCACGGAGGAGAACGCTCAGCAGCTGTTGCACAGGAGGAACCCCCTTGCGCTTTGGGGTCAGAAGAAGTCCATCTCAGGATCCTGAACGTGACACTGCTGACACTGTCAAAGCATTTCTACCTGATTTTCCGTCAGCCTCTTGATGAACGCGTCATTTCCTCTGCTTGGAATGAAGCCACTCTTACTCCAATCTGCAAAACTGGCGGCCGACTACAACCTGGCAGCTCCTAGCATATTCGCCTACCCAGAGTACCGTGAAGGTGATGAAAAGCATCCTGAAAAATTCTTGGCACCAATAGCTTCATATCCACGGCACGATGTGGATTGCTCCCAAACCCTTCTTGCGAGACGAACATGCTCGACTTTGTGGGAGGCTTAACCCAAGATAAGGAGAAGAACTCATGTCAGATGCAATAAGTTTCGGCTTCTCAAAAGTATTCGGTCGAGTCCCACAAGTGTTGCTGCTCCATAGTCTTGAGTATTGTAGAGTAAGGCGCACCTATCCGATAGGACATGCAGAATGAGAATAGGTTTGACCTACTTTTCTTCTGAGGCGGTCTCCATTGGATCTCCTCAACGCTCCGTTTCAGGAAATTCCTGTTTCTTATCTGCGTCAATGACCTACCATATTCACTTCCACTTCCATGTTTCCTCTTTGCGGACAACTTGAAATCACAGAGCTCAAAAGCAAGCTCCCTTCAAGTGGATACAGACACAAATTATAGGTCTCTGAAATAGCGCCTTACTATGGATGAGGAAAAGTGTGTCCATATGCCTTTCAGAGGAAACTCAGGGAGCACCTTGGCCGTGCATGGTGAGAATGGGCCATAAGACATTACGAGGGTAGATAGAAAGGGATTTAGGTACCTTGAAGCTTTCAAACCCATCTTCCTCACTTCGACTAAAAAATTGGCCCAAAGGACATTGGTCATTCTATGGGTAATTTAGTCCTCTTTTTCCCCGCTTTATTCTCTTAGACCCCTAGATAACTTATGGGGCCCCCCACATCAGCCGCTTCTTAAATATGCCAACCAAGCCGTCTACCCAGAACACAAGAAAGATGTAATCTTGAATGGGCGTGTCCAACAAGCTGCTAGTAAATGGTTTCTGGCCGTAAAACTCTTGATTAACGAACGCGTCTCTTGGCTCTTGAACTACTCCTATATTTTGTACTCTTGCCTTCGAGGAGACATAGTACTTACAGACCTCCTGTTAACTAAGGCGTGGCCAACATTTTTTTTCACAGTTTACACACATTTAACGTGTAACGGGAACACGGCAAGGTTTTTAAGCTCGAAGGGCATAGTTATGGAATAACAATCCTTCCCACTCCTTCCCACTCCGGGCAGTTGGTGTGTGGAAGAACTTTCCTCCAAAGGCTTGTCACCCAGCTCAGGGAACCTTTCGAGTCGTCGTGAAGGCCGGCCTACTGCGCCGCGCAAAGAAGGTAGAGAAAAGCGCCACACCCTCATTTGTTCGTGCCCCTAAGGTGAACGGAAGCCGCTGAATGCAAGAACGAACCTTATCCGGGGAGCTTGAGCAAAAGCCTTCTTTATGTGTATCTATGTGTGAACACCCCAGTTTTTCTCTTGGACTTCAATGCATCCGTGATTGTTACCAGCACAGTCTTTTGAGATTATTATATGCCATTATTAGCACTATTAACCATGTTTGCTGTCCTGAATGTAACGCAATTCGAATAAATTTCATTCCCTTTTGACTACTCAGCTGTACTCGCCGGTGGGTTCCGCTCAGCTGCGTGTTCCAATGTGGGACGAACAGGTGTTGGTAGTTCCACCAGCTCCACCTCTACGACCTCTAACTGTATCTCGACTTCCGACTCCAAATCCATTTCAACTACAACCAACGCAGAGGATTCTTGCTCACCCACAACAAAGCCCACTCCTCCTAGAGAGTTTGACTGTACCGAAAACTTCCTCGCTGCACCCTGGCACCTCCCCTTATCCTGCATCTCTTACCATAAACCTCGTATTTCATCTATTCCAAGCAGCCCAGTTCGGTTACCCGTTCCCTCCGCCCCTGCGGTTCGCTGCTCAAGGCTCTACAAAACAGGTCCACCCTTCCTCTCAGTGCCCTTGGCTTATCCTCTCATTCCCTGTCCCTTAAACACTCCTCCTGCCCTTGCATCTCGCGTCACCCAAATCCCGCTGCTTTTGTTGAGCTGCCACACAAGTGCCACCCCCTGATTATGTCGATTACATCATTACAAACGACTGCTCGAACCAGCCTCTTACTCTTTGTCCAGGGAGCTCCGCTACCTGCCTTGCCACCCGACGCTGCCTCGGTACCCATCACGATACATCACAGCATCCTATTCTCACGTATCTTTAAAGGGTCCTACTTCGCCTACCAATTCAAGAACCCCCATTCCCCCTTCTCTACTCCATTCCATACTGACCTCCCTGGGCTTGTCAACTTCTTGAAAGCCATATTATCCACCTCCCTCGCTCCCGCTAGCAATCTCTCTGTCGTTCTAATCAACACCCGCTCTCTTACCTAAATTGCACTACATCCAAGCNAACTTCTTGATAGCCATATTAGCCACCTCCCTCGATCCCGCTAGCAATCTCTCTGTCGTTCTAATCAACACCCGCTCTCTTACCTAAATTGCACTACATCCAAGCCATCT